ATAAGTGGGAGCTGAACAATGAGAACACATGGACACAGGGAGAGGAACAACACACACTGGGACCTGCTGTGGGAGGGAATGCAGGGGGAGAGAATTAGGGAAAAGAGCTAATGCATGCTGGGCTTCATACCTAGGTGATGGGTTGATAGGTACAGCAAACCACCATGGCACATGTTTACCTATGTGACAAACCTGGACGTCCTGCACATGTACCCCAGAACTTAAAAAACTAAAATAAATATAAAAAACTAAAAAAAAAAAAGAAAGAATAGCCTTCAAATATATATGCGTATATCAATAATCCTGGTGATCTTAATCAAGTTGAAGCCTGAAACACAGTAATTTTTTTTTTTATCTATCATCAATATTTTGGCCTCAAGACAATCAATTTCAATTCTCATATCAATGTAAAATTATTAATTTACATGCCATTGCAGATAATGCAAAAGCAAAGCTAATCCACTCAGGTGAATCAGAATCTCATTTTCAGCACTGAAGTTCCCTATGCTCATACGTCTGCTCCAATTTTTCAATTAAAAAGGTTTTCTTCAATTTAGAATATACTGTCTTTAAAGTTTCCATCAATCTAAGGCACTCAAAAAAGGAAAAGGTCATTGAGATGGTATGGCAAATGAGAAAGAACGAAGTGACAACAAAATGCAAGAGATAAAGGACTCATAGAAAATAAGAAAATGAGGCCGGGCACGGTGGCTCACACCTGTAATCCCAGCACTTTGGGTGGCCAAGGCAGGCGGATCACCTGAGGTCGGGAGTTCGAGACCAGCCTTACCAACATGGAGAAACCTCATCTCTACTAAAAACACAAAATTAGCCAGGCATGGTGGTGCATGCCTGTAATCCCAGCTACTCGGGAAGTTGAGGCAGGAGAATCGCTTGAACCTGGGAGGTGGAGGTTGTGGTGAGCTGAGATTGTGCCATTGCACTCCAGCCTGGGCTACAAGAGCGAAACTCCATCTCAAAACAAACAAACAAAAACAAGAAAACCTAGACTTAAACCTCACACCTCATAGAAAAAAAATCAAAATTATTATGGACTTAAATAAAAAACATGAAATGTTTTTATAAAATAGGAGAAAATATTCATGACCTAGGGATGGGCAAAGAGTTCTTAGACTTAACACCAAAAATATAATCAATAAAAGGAAAAATTTATGAATTGGACTTCAATGAAATTAAAATATTTATTCTGTGAATGGGTCGGGCATGGTGGTTCACGCCTGTGATCCCAGCACTGTGGGAGGCCGAGGCGGGCGGGTCACGACATCAGGAGATGGAGACCATGCTGGCTAACACGGTGAAATCCCGTCTCTACTAAAAATAATAATACAAAAAATTAGCTGGGCGCGGTGGCGGGCGCCTGTAGTCCCAGCTACTCAGGAGTCTGAGGCAGGAGAATGGCCTGAACCCGGGAGGCGGAGCTTGCAGTGAGCCGAGATCGCGCCCCTGCACTCCAGCCTGGGCGACAGAGCCAGCCTCCGTCCCCCATGTGACTGTACAACCCTTCGCTGACACCTTGGAAAACCAAAGGGTCAGAGTGTTCAGCCACACAGAATATCCTTCCAAGAGATTAAAAGTGTTCCTAATAAATCTGCTCAATCAATACAGAGCAGCTATAGGAAATTTAAGAGCACTGGCCCTCAGCCATCTCAGCAGAAGCCCAAAGAACAGAGGGATTATCTTGAAAAGATCTGTGGATTCGGCTCTAGTCTGATTGTGTGAATCCCAATGAATTCCAAGCAAGATCCACAAGGTCCTTGAGAATTGCAGAACAGCAGAAAACTTGGCCTAAAAGGGAGAGAAAGTATGAGATGAAAAGAAGGCTGTCAGATCCCCAAAACTCTACATACAGGAAGCAGGTTGAAAAAAGAACTCAGATGCAAGCACGTGCTGTCTTTCATAGAAAAGGAAGGATATCTCAGAGGATGGAACCAAACATCCAGAGGGTTGAACCAAGAGTTCAAAAGATGAAGTCAAGAGACCAAAGGGCAGAACTAAGAGTCATGGATTATTGCCAGGCCTTGAAATCTAATCAAGGAATTCTGCCTGGAGTTACCTGGCTGGATTTAAAAATTGCTTCAAACCAGTGAGGCTTTTTTCATCCATTTTCTCTTTTTTAATTGGTATGGCTGTAATTTTTATCCTATGCCTATCCTACTATTGTTATTTTAGGAATGTTGGGGGCAGGTACCACTTGCAAATGGAAAGGAATTTTTCCCAGGAGCTATACTTAATGGATTACACCAGAACCCTCTGTTCTCACCTAACTTAGGTGATTTAGATGATGAGATTTGGGACTTTTGAGCTGATGAGATTCTGAATTTTGAACTGATGCTGTAATGGCAGGAATGATACCCTTGAGAACCTTGGGAAAACTGAATGTATTGCATGTGTGAGATGAACATGGATTACTGGCAGCCAAACTTGAGGCAGTGGTAGGTAAAATTCTAAGAATGGCTCCCAGTGTCCTTCATGTTTGTATAATCCTCTCCCTGATAAATGTGTTTGGAACCTGTAAATATGATGAAATATCACTCCTGTGATTATGTTACATTATATTAGAAAAGAGCGATTATTCAGGTGGGCCCAATCTAATCACAAAACTCTAAAAGTAGAGAGTTTTCTCTAGATTGTTACATAAGGGGAAGTCAGAGAAATTCAAAGGATAAGGACTCGAGTAGTGCTATTGAGGCTGTGATGATGGAGAGCACCACAGGCAAGGACTGGAGAGCAGCCTTTAGGAGCTGAGAGTGACTCCCAGTCAACAGCCAGAAGGAACTGGGCACTTCAGTCCTGCGACCACACAGAACTGAATTCTGCTATCAATGTGAATGAGCATGAAAACAGATTCTTCCCCAGAGCCTCCACTTAAGAGCCCAGCCCACCCAATGCCTTACCTTTGGCCTTGTGAGATCCTAAGAAGTAAAACTCAGCCCAGACTGCCCAGGACTTCTGACCTAAAAACTGTGAGCTACTAATGGGTGCTGTTTTAAGCCATTATGATGTGGTAACTTGTTATATCAGCAGTAGAAGAGTACTACATTAATAGATTAAATGTGGTGCATCCATACAATTCAATAGTACTCAGCAATAAAGAGGGATGAATTATTGATACATGAAACAGAAGATCTCAAAATAATTATGCTAATTGTAAGTTAGGCCACAAAAAACAGTGCATGCCATATAATTTCATCTATGTAAAATCCTAGAATATGCACAAAACAGAAAGCAGATCAGTAATTTCCTAGAGATGGGATGGGGAAGGGCAATTAGAGAGAGATGGATTATAAAAGATCATCAGAAAACTTTGAGTGGTGATGTTTATTTTGTTTGTGATGGTGGTTTCACAAGGTATACACATAAGTAAAAACTCATTGAACTGTACATTTTAAATATGTGCAACTTATTATATATCAATTATACCTCTGTAAAAATAATAAAAAATAAGCCTCCTAGATGACTGTAGAAAAGAAACCCAAATACCAGTTTCATTCAAAAAGTGGAGAATGCAGACAAGCAGGTTAAAAAAAAAAATCCTCACTTAATTTCATCCCCAGTTCTGTTATACTGACAAAATAAACTGTATGCATTAATACCTTCTAAATTTCCAGCAAACAATTTTTTTTTTTTTTTTGAGTTGGAGTCTCGCTCTGTTACCCAGACTGGAGTGCAGTAGCACAGTCTCTGCTCACTGCAACCTCCGCCTCCCAGATTCAAGCAATCCTCCTGCCTCAGTCCCCCTAGTAGCTGGGATTACAGGCACGCACCACCATGCTCAGCTAATTTTTGTATTTTTTTTAGTAGAGACAGGGTTTCGCCATGTTGGCCAGGCTGGTCTCAAACTCCTGACCTCAGGTGATCCACCCACCTTGGCCTCCCAAAGTGCTGGGATTACAGGCGTGAGCCACCATGCCCAGCCAGGAAACAAATTTTTTAGAGAACAAAATTCTTCCTTTGTAACTTTTCTGAACCAGCATATTTTAGCTGCCTACTGTCTAGTAACAACAATATGGCTACTACCTACAGTTAGGAAATAAACGAAAATTTAATCAGGACACAGTTCCCACTCTCCTTTTCTCATACTGCTTAACAATCTCTAAGTGATCTGCTTCTCTAAACTTCTGCATCGCTTTCCATCTGTTTCACAACTCTTAGTGTTTGACTGTATTCCATGGCTTGTTACTTGTTTCTTACAGGAACCTTGTATATTCAATTAAATTCTAAGATACTTGAAGGCCAAGAATCAGTTCAATCATTGATTAAATATTGGCAGTCCCAGGTATGTTGGTGTAGAGCAGGAAAATGTAATTTTCCCTCAAACCTTCTAAGTTCTTGGCTGGGACCCCGTAACGAAAGACAGATTAACACAAGAAAAACAAACAGAAGCTTATTAACATGTATATATCATATACACGGGAGACACCCAGGGAATTAGTAATCCTCAAAGAGGTGGCTTAGAACCCTGGCTTATACAGCATCTGTATTAGCCCATTCTCACACTGCTAGGAAGAAATACCTGAGACTGGGAAATTTATAAAGAAAAGAGGTTTAATTGACTCATAGTTCCACATGGCTGGGGAGGCCTCAGTACAATCATGGTGGACAGCACCTCTTCACAGGGCAGCAGGAGAGAGAATGAGTACAAGCAGGGGAAATGCCAGGCTTATAAAACCATCAGATCGCATGAGACTCGCTCATTATCATGAGAACAGCACGGGAGATACCACCCTCATGATTCAATTACCTCCACCTGGTCCTACCCTTGACCTATGGGGATTATGGGGTTTACAATTCAAGGTGAGATTTGGATGAGGACACAGAGCCAAACCACATCAGCATCTTCAACAAAGAATAATACATTTTTAGACAAGTGAAAAGACAAAGGAAAAGGACCTTGAGACTCACAAGGCAGGAAACTTGAAAGGCAAATAAATGGGAAACTAATGGTAAAGGCAGAATGGTTAAATCTAGCTAATTTAAAAAAATGCAGTACCTCATATAGTTATCATTTTTATGGCAAAAGGATAAAAATGTACAATGTTATTTGTCAATTTAAAAAAAGAAAATTGCAAAAATAACCAGCTAGTTAGTAAAGTTTATCACATAGATTCCTCTGTGCTGTCTCTGGGCTAAGGGTCTACAGTCCAGTGATTAACATTTGTCCTTCCTTGTAGAGAGGGAAGGGACACCTTTGTCAATTTTTGTCTTGCTTTTAGGCAAATGAGGGGTGGGGGGACAGAGAGATTTTCTTATATCTACTTCTTCTCAATTGCCTTTAGTTCCAAATAATCCTCACACCAAAGTGGCACATTTTGGGGTGCATAGTCTGCTACTCTTTGTTGGAATAAAGAAAAAATAATAATTAGTCCTACCTCCAATAATTTATTAAGGGAGGAAAAAGGGAAGAAAGAAAGAAGGGAGGAATGGAGCGAGGGAGGGAGGGAGGGAAGAAGCGGGGAGAGGAGGGAGGAGAGGGAAATGAAGAGAGAGGTATAGATACAGATATTGATGATATAGATACAAATTTGTTCTACGTGTTCTAAAAGCAGCATGCAAAATGCTCACTTCGATACTAATTACCTCTGACTATAAAATAGGAGGTTTCACAGAGGTTACAGAGGTGAAAAATAATTTAGAAACTCTTGGGTACTTTTGCATATTTTCCATAAGCCTAAAACTAGTCCAAAATAAGGGTTTTTTTTTTTTTAAGTGGGTCATGAAATTAGAGGTGTTGCCAGGAAGACTGTAATTTTTTTTAAAATGAGCAAATACGGAATACCTGCTAGGTTATTAGGTCGTATGCTAATCACATTCAGTTATTTCATTTCATCCTCAAAATAATTCTATAAGGCCCAAAGATTAGCCTTCTTATTCCTTAGAAAAAGGAAGTTCAAGATAATATAGTTTAATTGCTGAAAGTCACTCAGAAGCTAAATATATCAAGACTTAACATGTAGATCTAGCTGATCTTAAAGTCTAGCTAGTGTTTTCCTGGCGGAGAAAGTGCCATGAGCAAAAGCAGAGGCCTCAATCAGGTAACAGCATATAGTCCAGTCTGATTAACATTCGGGGTACATGTGGACAGTGTTGGGAGAAGCAATTTAAAAGCAGGTGGGGAACCATGTTTTCCTTTCATGATATTGACTACAAACAGTTTTAATACTGCAACCACTCTGTTTGCCTTACCCATCGTCCAAAGGTTTCCCATTGTCAGCTACCCGACAACCAGGCCAACATTTCATCTGAGAAAATAAATTAGTTTTCCTGATGCTCTCCACTACTAGGTATCAATGTGTTTGTATATGGCTCCAGGGACTTGGATGGATACTGAAAAATCTAAGAGGTCCCAGTCAAGTTCACAGAAGTCCCAGCAGGTCTAGGTTAACCCCCTAGGAATATTTAGGGGAAAAAGGCTGGTTGTGAAGTTATCATGGTAGTTCTGACTTACTTTCAACCTGGTGCAGACTGGTCAATAGAGCTGTGAATTTAATCAAGACCCCGTCTGGAGTTATGAGTTGGCCCATATATCCAAACACTGGTATCAGATCACCACAAATTATCTGCACTTGTACTTGCGTTACTTATTCCCTTTTCTGACTACCCATACAGCCTCAAATCCAGCTGAATATTTTGCAGAAGAGCTTCCTTAAAATGGCTCATCTGATTGAGCTGTTAAAATACAATGGCATGGTAAAAATGCTTATGGCTTATGTCAAAGGGTTATGTCAGATTCTGAGTGATTCTGAGTTGACTGAGGCTATCAGTTCAACCAATGTCACTGAAATCTCTAACAAAAAATATTATGTTAATAACACAAGAATGATGATGTGGTATATTGAGAAAGGTATGTTTGGGTGATTACATATGAACTATTTTACATTTGCCCCAGGCCATACAATGAACCTCTCATTAGTAGTTGATGGACCTACTATTAAGATCTGAAGTTCATTAGCAAACATGATACAACAAAAAGTCCCTTAATTTAGGAACCAGAATAGAATTCAAGTCTTGGTTATTAACCTTATGAGTAGCCTCTATGAACCTATTCCTTCATTATACCTATACCTTCGTAAGACTGTTTTGAAGATAAAGTGAAACAATTGAAGCAAAAGAACTCTAGTAACCACAGAACAGTGCCAACAGTGCTGTGGTGCTTACCAAGGTATGGTAGGCCAATGGTGCAAGACATGAATCAAATGAGGTAAATCGGACAGCATCTTCAGGGAAGGGAAGGTCCTCTGAAGTGATAATAATCCTCTCAATCACATCAGGAGAAAAGCCAGCATCTGCCTGAAGCTGAATACATAAAAATGCTCAAAAGATATGTGTCTCTTGGGTAGTTAAGTCTGAGACGGTAAGATTTGGGAGCCCATGATTCTCTTGTGAGAATGAGTTTGCATCATAGTATTTAGAGGACTAGAACAGGAGAAGGTAAAGAGAGCCTCCTGCAAGGACAGAGCAAAGGGAGCTATACCCAGATCTGATCCAGACTTATATCCCCAGTGTCATGGACTAGGTTTAAGGCCACCGGCCCATGGTGATGTTGGCCTCCCTCAAAGGTTGGCATTCAAGAGAAGAAACCTATCCCATTGGTGCCTTTCAGACCATCTGCAGAAATAGGCCTTCTTTACTTGGTCTGTGCCTTATCAACTGGAAAATTCCCTGGGTGGCACATAAAGATCAACTTCCTAACACCTGCAGCAAAGCGTAACACATCTATTTTGAACCAAATTTATGTGGCATGGGGCCGAAGTCTCTGAACATGGAAGAAACATCATCACTAAAAGGCGACCTATTTAGCACCTGTGGAATTCAACAAAGAGCAATGTAGAGTAGCCACACAGCTTAGTCAACATGGCAGGAGACAATCAAAACACGAAGTCCAAAGCCACATGTGGCCCTTGTTTTGTTTCTCAGGCAGGACCACAATGGGAGAGGAGATTTCACAGCTACCTCATGTATGAAATCAGGTGCAGGTTACGAACAAGAAACAGAGTAAGAAAAAAAGGATGTTTAGACAGAAAAACTGTATGGGCAGTTTAATATGCTCGGGCAAAGGGATGGAACTAACATTTAATTTCCAGTGTGTTCCCTGAATGAGAGTCCAGACTGTGATAAGAACTTTTTGACCTGAAATTTAAAAAAAAAAAAAAGTGTCACACTTTTGGAGTGCTTAAAATATTCCAAGCACTATTACAAGTGCCTTGCATGTATTAACTCATTTAATCCTCATAACTCTATGAGGTAGTATTATTATCGCCTATATGCATGAATGGACACCAAGGCCTAAAGATTTAATTAACTTGCTCAAAGTCAAAAGTCAGTTGGGTTCAAACCTACACAAGTTGGCTTTAGATTACACTGACTGTGCCACACTGAACTTACTGATTTAGGTACAAAAAAGACCCTGTGTCTACAGCGGCCAAGAAAAAAGAAAATCTGGGTCAAACTTTGACTAGAGAACACAAATAAAGGCTGAGGAAGAAAGGAGGACAAATGATAAAAAGGATCAAGTTTTTAAAAGAGAATCTGTTTCCAAGAGTAGTTGTGCTTTTGTGTGTTTTGTGTTGTGATTTTACTCTACTGGATCTCATGTAGAAGGGTGAAAGAGTGTCAGAGAAAGGCCAAGAATTCCAAGGATATGACATTATGAGGCACAATTCCCCCAGTTTCTTGAGTGGTATTAGCAGTTAAGCATGTAAAGGCAAAAGAGCTCGATGGGGAAAGCTAGAGTGTAATCCTATCACTTGAGAGATCTTTAGTCATTTGCTCAGTTTTCCATGTTTTTACATAAAATACAGCATGGGCTATGGAGTCAGGAAACTACATCCTAGTTTCGAAACTTGTTGTGTGTTTACAGACAAAATAGTCCCCTGGGCTTCAGCTTTCTCAACTATTAAATGAAGGTTGTTATCTATCTCTCAGGGTTATGCAAGGATTAAATGCAGTAAGTAAAAAGCATAGCACAGAGTAACATATACTACTCAACAAATGTTAGCTGCACCCCTTTGCCTAAGCATTATTACCGAGAGTCCTAAAAGACTTTAAGCCTATGAAAAGAATGTGATAGAAAAAAAACCCCACAAAATTCTTACAAGTTATAAAAATAATATAGGAAGCTCTGAATGAAAATGCTCTAAAATATGTAAGTCCAACAGGTCAGCTGGCTAAACCAACTGTAGTAATGAGGTCAAAGTTTGATGTTCATACTCCTTCATTTTTGTTCTCACAAGGTGTGTTATTGTTAAAATTTGCAGACTCATCCTTTGTTTAAAAAGGAGTCCAATAATTAAACTGGTGTTAAAACAAGGTCCAAAGGTTTTACAGCTTTGGAGCAGAGCTAAAACTATAGCTCTTGCAACGTGAATAACAGACTATTGAATTAAGACTCTCTCTTTTTCCTTTCAGTACCAGTATTTATGATGCAAAAATGAAAGTCCAAAAACTTTGTGAGGATAAAATGTTCCCACAAAGTATATAAAATCTATAAATACTAAAAGAAGCTGGAAAGAATTCAAATGAGATCGTGAGAAGTTTGCTTCACATTTAATACCTTTTTCCTTCTAAATAACAAGTTAGAATAGCTCCATAAACACAAAATTAAGCCTCTGATACTACACTCACACGCTCAAAGGATGAACAAACTTCAAAAATAACATATTTTTCTTTGACAAAATCAGTAAAATTGGCAAGCTTGTCAAAGAATCATTTCAGTCTAACATTTTACTTAGTGGATAAATATTTGTCAACAATCTGTAAATAGTATAAATGCTTTTCTCAAAATGCTAAGTGAAAGAAGTCAGGCACAATAGATGACACATTGCAGGATGATTCCATTTATATGAAATTCTCAAACAGCAGAGCTAATGATAGAAAGCAAACCACTGTTTGCCAGGGGTCAAGGATAGGAGCAGGGGATTGACTGCAAAAGAAAAAATGAGACGTTTTCGGGGTGAAGAAAGTGTTCTGTATCACGATCACTGTGGCAGACACACAACTGTATATATTGTTTTCAAAATTCACTAAATTCGACGCTGAAAATTGGAGAATTTTGTGAAAATTATACCTCAATTTTTTAAAATACGCATGAATCAATATGCATTTCAAAGAATAATTTCAGTCAAAATATTTTACTTGGGAGACAAATATTAATTTGTAGAAAATCTATAAATAATATTTTTTTCACAATCACAATGTTTACTTGCCGCCATGTTTATTATAAGGAATAGCTTTTCATTTTCTTCTAGAAAAGCAAAACCAAGAAGTGCTTGGAAAGCGACCTTGAATACAATTGAAAACCCTACAAAAATGCTGTATAAACTCAGAATACTAATGCAGTACTTGGCAGGTCTTTGAATATTTTTTCCAGAACGTAATAGTATACCGAGGTTGCAAATTCAGGTCATACAAGGGCCAAGTGGATGACATAAGTGAGCAGTACGGCGGCAGTGGTACTGTGGCACAGTGGAGAGCACGAGGCTCCTTCCAAGTGAGCCACCACCACTAGGTCCTGCAGACTGATGCCAGGAAAGAACAGAGGCCTCGGTGTAGCCAGAGTCTCTGATGTTTAAAAAAGAAGCAGAAATCTGAACTTTAATGTGAAATATCCCCATTTTTTAGAATAATGGCTCTAAATGTTTTTTACAACACTACATGGGCCACACAAAACACATTCATAGATAGGATTATGACCTCTGGTCCACGGTGTATGTTTTCTGAACTTTTTCAATAGCATGGTCTTGCCATCTTTGTAGCTGCTTACCACTTAATTTGTATAGTCTAGAATAACATAGAATGTTAGTGCATCTCAAGTAAAATTCATCTCAAAATTGCATGAAGGCTAGTCACTTCTGCTCCCTTACTGAAAAAAACAAGTCCTGTTTATATTCTAAGAATATGGGTTAGTAACAAAATTTTAAAAGTGAGTTAGAATGAAGGGAAAAGTGGTGAGGAAACAATGAAGAAACCACTACTTTAATCAAGATCATAGTCAGCTTCCAGACTCCAGAGCAATAAAATAATCCACATGCTGAAATTTGAGAACTTCATTGCCCCAACTAGTCCAACCTGGCTGTAAATTTCGAGCAAACAATTCCAAATATTCCCCATCTGGCTTGATGTAGTCTTTTAAAACCTCTGTTTAAAAAAGAGAAAAAACACAAAAATTATTATTGAGGAAGGAGTCCATTTCCTTTTAGCAGTAAGAGTAGAAAGGGAAAAATGTTTCATTTCATTCTTAAAAGACAGCAAATTAATTTCAAGGATTTCATCACAGGCTTTACAATTTATAGTTAGCCATTTAAAATAAGTACCCTTGAGAATGGGAAAAATATCATCCGAACTTCCATAGTCCTAGTTTATTGGTTTTCATTTGTCGATGAGAAATGAGGACCTTAACACCTACATAGGTGACTTTTCAGTTTTCCAATACTGCTGATATATCTCCTGAGTACTAACTTTATTTATTTTTTTAATTTTTATTTTTTTGAGACACAGTCTCACACTGTCACCCAGGCTGGAGTGCAATGGTGCAATCTCAGCTCACTGCAACCTCCACCTCCCCATTTCAAGCAATTCTCCTATCTCAGCCTCCCAAATAGCTGAGATTACAGGCACACGTCGCCACTCCTGGCTAATTTTTTGTATTTTAGTAGAGATGGGGTTTCACCGTGTTTCCCAGGCTGGTCTCGAACTCCTGAGCTCAGGCAATCCACTCGCCTCGGCCTCCTAAAGTGCTAGGATTACAGGCGGGAGCCACCGCACCCAGCCAATTTATTTTTAATAAATATAATCCATACATGAAAAAGAGCTCTACAAAAATTCAAAAACAACCCATTTTTAAAAAATAAGATAAAATAAAACTCTCTCTGCAGTATAAATTTCAATAAAATAATAATAAATGAAGAGCTGGATATAAACAGAAATACTGAGAACAAATAACTAACATTTAAATAACTAGCCCCCTCAGCAATAAGTTGGTAGCACTAAGAACATTTCTTCATTTTCAAATTATAGATCCTTCTTTACCTAAAATTTCATCATGGTATTTCCACAGTTAAGTATTCCTTGTATTATTCAATGAATTAATAACTACTGAACACTGTATTTTCTTGGGGAAAGAGCTGTAGGCTAAAGAGCTGTTGTCTACACTAAAAGAGAGAAAAGGAGGACACAGAAACTTTTGAAAAGCACATGTTCACTCAATTGGATGACAAATACTTAAATCAATTTAATCTTGATCATGCTGCTGGTTAGCTATGCTAACCACCTAATAGGAATTTGGTATAAAATTCAGATAAGAAAACTCACTAGAAAAGGTAAAATATGGTTCATAATTGCTATGTAAGATTGAGCTTGGAAGAAATCTATCAAATTTCCTTTAGGAATGATAAGGGTTCTTTAGGAATACTAAAGATAGGTAAGGTTTAAAAGAGAATATATCATTTTAGGTTTCATCATGTTCTTTAGTTGCTCCCCACAGCAAAACACTTGTTCATCTGTCAGAAAGTACTGGTCCTGTTTAGCAAAAATCAAAGAAGAATTAAAAGGTTCACTGTCTATAATTCAAGTGAACTCAAATTTGGGCTTTGATGGGTTCTAGGAGATGCTGGCATGAAGGCTTCTAACCCTTTCATAAGTACATAAATTAAATGCTACTAACCTTGAAAGAGAAAGATTTCCCTAGAGTCTTAGAGGACAATAACCAATAACCCTACATCACTTTTCCATTTTCTTCCCATGAATTTAATGCCTTACCAGCCTCAATTCCCTTTTAATGTGCTCTAAGGTTACAATGAAGAAAAGTTTTGTTTGTTTTTGTTTCATTTGTTCAGATTTTTGGTACGAAGAGGTTAGCAACACTATTTTAAAAATGTAAACTGGAGTCAGCCAGTCAAAAATGTTTCCTTTTTTGAGCACCCACTATAATCAGTCTTATAAAACTTAACAAAAGAAGGCCGGGCGTGGTGGCTCAAGCCTGTAATCCCAGCACTTTGGGAGGCCGAGACGGGCGGATCACGAGGTCAGGAGATCGAGACCATCCTGGCTAACACGGTGAAACCCCGTCTCTACTAAAAAATACAAAAAACTAGCGGAACGAGGTGGCGGGCGCCTGTAGTCCCAGCTACTTGGGAGGCTGAGGCAGGAGAATGGCGTGAACCCGGGAAGCGGAGCTTTGCGGTGAGCTGAGATCCAGCCACTGTACTCCAGCCTGGGCGACAAAGCGAGACTCCATCTAGAAAAAAAAAAAAAAAAAAACTTAACAAAAGAAGCAGAATATCCATGTTTTATGAGCGTTTACAATCTAATAGAAAATGATGGTCAGGTACTTGGATGGAGTAGAAAAATATATACAACCTAAACCCATTTACTACCATCCTATTTTCTCAATGTAATAAATTTTTGCATGGTTCTTCTCCTTTCTAGTTAAACCAGAATATTGTGTTTTTACAATGTTAACTACAATTATTTTATTTCAAAATAAGGTAGAAGAAATAAAGGCAAATTAATGAAAATGTATTATTCCGGTTTTTAAATATTAATTTAAAAATAAATGTGAATGTATAAATTTAAACATGAGTATGACACATAAACTTCGACAATTACATAACATCTGGAGTTAGTAAAACACACTTTAACCAATGGAGGGGATGCAATCCGTGCACAGCTGGTCATTTCCTTTTTGTTCTGAAAGCATGGGGCAGGAGTAAGAGAGAAGTGGCCCAAACATCAATGCATATAATCCCGTCAACTAAACTTCACTCTTCAGATGGAAACTGTTAGTATGTAAAGCAGTAAAAAGAAGTGGAAATTCCTCTAAGGCAAAACATGAAAGCTAAAATTTTGATTTAAATACTTCATTTCATGATTTTCCTACCTTAAATCTTCAAACAATATCACTTTATAATGTTAGGTTGTAAACCATAGCTATTGATAGCTTATCTTTCAATCTATCGGACAAAATTTCAAAACTTATGCAAATGTATCATTTTGAAATGCCATATGCTACCAATGTGGTCGCCTACATTTTGCAGCAGAAATAACCAATTAAACTTTAGAAAAAAAAATCGGGGTGTTTCTAGATACCAAAGAGAAAACATTTCATTTTATGAATTTGCATAAAACAGTTTAAGAACATTTAAATGTAAAAGTTGTAAGCATTATATACAGAATATATAACATCCCAAGCTCCTAGAGTTATGATTTCAGGGTAAAATATACTGCAGAAATCTGAGAGATGCTTTCTGAAATATATAGAAAGGTGAACTATACTAAATATACATACAGTAACATGAACTCAAAAATAAAATATTACAATATTTCCTATCACTACTTAACCAAAACATAAGATTTTATATATATGGAGTTATTCAGATGTTTCCTCCAGAATCTAACTTCTGTTTTTAAATGTTTTCAATCCTAAAAATGTGTTTGTGCTGCTCTCTACAGGGAATGAGGAAAAACTGCATCTCAAAGATACAAGCTGTAATGCTTTAGGGCAAGACTCATTTTTATTCACTATTTTAAAACCTGTCTCCTGAGGTTCATCTTTAAATATAACTTTATTTTATTTTAAAGGAATTGATACATAGTTTACTATCATTTCAGAATGAAAAGTTTACGGTCTTAGCTTTTGAATTTTTAAAAGAAAAAAATAAGGCTTGAGATAAACACTAACTTAAGCTTTGTTACCAAATGATAAATAAAATTCAAATGAGAGGAATACATATACATATATAATCAGGTATTACTAGTGCCAAGTGTAATTTTTTTTCACAAGGAACAATGCAATCTCACTTTCCATTTGAGTTATATATTAAAGCATTAAAGGTCTATGACAGTCCAAAGTGTTAGGCAATCGATTATTCACTGAGGATCCTTCTTAGTCAAAGAACAGATTATCAGGTAGACATCTGTATATGTCTCAAATGAAGTAATACTATAAACACCCTTCTAGAGGCTGGGCGCAGTGGCTCATGCCTGTAATCCCAGCACTTTGGGAGGCTGAGGCAGGTGGATCACTTGAGGTCAGGAGTTCGAGACCAGCCTGGCAAACATAGCGAAACCTCGTCTCTATTAAACATACAAAAATCAGCCAGGCATAGTGGCACATGTCTGCAGGCCAAGGCACTCAGGAGGCTGAGGCAGGAGAATCACTTGAACCCAGGAGGCAGAGGCTGCAGTGACCCAAGATCAGGCCACTGTTTGTGACAGAGTGAGACTCTGTCTCAAAAAAAAAACATTAAAAGATCCTACTGCATAAGCCATTTAAGATAACAGAAATCCTAAGTGCTAGCAACAAAAATTCTCTGGGAATTTGTGTTCACTTTCTACACATCCCAGTTCATGAACTGCCTCATATTCTGCAAGGTAACATAAGCTCCCTGTAGCTTTCCTGAGTGGCAACTTATAGGAGTTTTGTAGTTGTTGTTGGTAGAAATTACCAAACTAACAAAATATGTATTCCTGAAGAAATTCTTTGTGGGTTTTTTTGTTTTTTTCTCTTTTTTAATTTTTATTATTTTTTTAATTATACTTTAAGTTCTAGGGTACATGTGCACAATGTGCAGTTTTGTTACATATGTATACACGTGCCATGTTGGTGTGCTGCACCCGTTAACTCATCATTTACATTAGGTATATCTCCTAATGCTATCCCTCCTCCCTCCCCCGACCCCACAACAGGCCCTGGTGTGTGATGTTCCCCTTCCTGTGTCCGAGTGTTCTCACTGTTCAGTTCCCACCTATGAGCGAGAAGATGTGGTGTTTGGTTTCCTGTCCGTGTGATAGTTTGCTGAGAATAATGGTTTCCAGCTTCATCCATATCCCTACAAAGGACACGAACTCATCCTTTTTTATGGCTGCATAGTATTCCATGGTATATATGTGACACATTTTCTTAATCCAGTCTGTCATTGATGGAAATTTGGGTTGGTTCCAAGTCTTTGTTGTTGTGAATAGTGCTGCAATAAACAAATGTGTGCATGTGTCTTTATAACAGCACAATTTATAATCCTTTGGGTATATACCCAGTAATGGGATGCCTGGGTCAAATGGTATTTCTAGTTCTAGATCCTTGAGGAATCACCACACTGTCTTCCACAATGGTTGAACTAGTTTATAGTCCCACCAACAGTTTGAAAGTGTTCCTGTGTCTCCACATCCTCTCCAGCACCTGTTGTTTCCTGACTTTTTAACAATCGCCATTCTAACTGATGTGAGATGGTATCTCATTGTGGTTTTGATTTGCATTTCTTAGTGATGATGAGCATTTTTTCATGTGTCTCTTGGCTGCATAAATATCTTCTTTTGAGAAGTATCTGTTCACATAAACTTTGAATATTAAATTCAGTATCTCTCAAGGACTTTACATTTTGATGTTTTTAAACTCTGACTTGAAAAATTTAGCATTCATTGAGCTTCTACCACATGCTACAGAACTTTCAATATAACTAATTCTCACAACTCTAGAAGACTAAATATCACTGTTCCCTCTTTAAATGAGGACTTTGATATAGAAAAATATTTGAGTGACTTGCCCAACTCCCAGAGCCAGGATTCAAACTCATGTTAGTCCATTTCTAAAGCCAAATTCCCCATTATTCCCTGCTGCTTAGTTTCATTGAATGATAAACATTATACTAAAGTATTAAGACTAGTGAGAATTTGCAGGCTGCAGCAATTAGCTGTCAATGTTCCAGAAAAGCAACACTACCTTCTAAAAAAAACGTAAAAGTGAGAGCCACTAACCAAATATCAAGGGACTTCTATCTCTCTGACTACTATTCTGAGTTCCTGGTTTTAGGACAAGCAAGAGATAGAGCCCCAGTAGTAAAATAAAGGGTCTATCTGAACTACATTCTCAGATGCCCATCAGCATTCATTGTGTCAGCCCAGTGATGGGAAGCAACTGATAGCAAGGGGAATCTGAAAAGTGGTATAACTGGAAAAGCTGAGTAACACAAAACTAATCTATTCTCTATTTTATAGAGATAGAGAAATAGTTTTAGAATATTCATTAACCCACATCTGACTTAATTTCCGAATCTGTAGGCCATTTAAATACTAAATGTATTCTTTTTTTCAAATTTGACAAAATGGTAACAATTCTATTTTATAAAAACATACCAGCAAGCGGTGGCTTATGTGAGTGAAGAGTACAGGGCACGCTGACAATTAATTTGTGGTCTGGAATGGGGAGCACGTTTACATCTGCATTCCTAATTAAACAGAACAAGAAAGTAAACTATATTTTCAAAAACAATTTTTTATATATAAGCCACAGCTGCATTGATTTTTGTTCTCTTTCTGTATCTGATTTTAAAACTAATTTTACAATCAATGAAAGAAATTAACAATTTAAGTATTGAGACATTCCTATCATTTCATTTTCCATAATAATGACAAGTACACACTAGATAAAATATAAAGTTTCCTGTGCCATACCACTCATTCTTTTCTACACTGGGCCATTTTCAGATTTTCAAACACATAAAAATTTCAAAAAGTCAATGACTACTAAGATAATCATTTTTAAAAGTGTAAAAATTAATACATGTACACAATTTTGAAAAATCGCCTTTCCTACCTCAGTAGAGCAGTTTTTTCTTGAACTCTCCCCAGTATAAGACCTTCATAAGGCTTTTTGTGTGGAGAATCTAATGGGAACACGAACTCTCCTGAATTGGTGATCTGATAGGAAGGAGCCAACAAAAGAGGGTTATTTTTTCCCATCACTATAGAGCTTCCACACACACACAAAAGAAATTAAACCTCCAGGCTAGTGCTGTTCAGCACAAATATTATGTGAGCCACATTTATCATTTTAAATTTTCTAACAGGAACACCTAAAGAAGTTAAAAAAATGCAATGAAATCAATTTTAATTATATATTTAATTCAATCTAACATACCTGAAATACTATCATTTCAATATGTAATCAATTCAGAAAACTTATTGAGATATGTTACATTCTTTCTTTTGTACTATGCCTGAAATCCAAAGTATAGTTTATACTTAACAGTACATTTCAGTTTGGATTAGCCACATTTCAAGTGCTGAAGTGTCACATGTGTTAGTGGCTATCATATTAGACATTGCTTCTGTAAGAGATTTTTTTAAAATATCATATAAATATTTCAAATATAACTTCATTATCATCTTGCACATAAAACAATCTCTACTCTTAACTAAAATTGATTCCTGGAAACCATGACATCAGTAATTTATTAGTTCATGCAAATGAACTAATAAATGAATTACTAATGAATGAACTAATAAATGAATTAGCAATATGACTAAGTAGATCATAATACACAGTTCCCTTTAGTTATAGGAAATAGTATCATTAAACATTGTCAAAGCCAAAATTAATAAGGATAGAAACTGGGTGGCTGATAGACAATACCTAGTCCAGAGACTGGCCCTGGGCATTATAAATTCAGAAATTCAATTTCATCATTTCACCCTGGGATGATCATACTCTCAAAGATTCATTTAAGCTAATCAAACTCAAAAATAATTTAAAATATCAATTCATTAATTTACCATGGGAATATATATTTTCACTGTCAGAACACTGCTATCTGTGAAACCCTTTATCCTCTATCAATGTACCTAAACAACCAAATCAGTAATCAGAAAGTCTTTTATCTCCTCTAGGGCCAATCAGACACAGCATCTCCTACAAAAAGTGCTGTATAAATACTGGCATGTTGGGTAGCCTTTATATTCAATGCATATTACTCCTCCTATCATAACAATATGTATAATTACCTAATAAATGCTTCATATAACATAATAGATGATATTTATGTTTTGAATTCTGATCTTATACCATCTCTTAGAACTGATGACTACTACAGATTAATAATCTTATTTTTATGTATTAACATTTTACTGGGTTTGATTTCAAAAGATGACCTCCTCCTGACTGTGGTCCCAGTTTCTGACTATAAAAGAACTATCATAATAGGCAAGATGGAATGGGGTAGTATACTCCTATCATGGTCCTATACCAAATTAACCAACACTAAGACCAAAATACAGCATGAAAACAAAGATACAACTGTAAGTCTTTGTCAAGTCCCATAACATAGGTATAAATAAACAATATATACTTGTCCCCGCTTATCCACAGTTTCACTTTCCAGGGTTTCAGGTACTCATGGTCAACTGCAGTCCAGAGATAGGTAAATACAGTACAGTAAGATATTTTGAGAGAGAGAGAGACCACATTTATATAACACCTACAGTATATTGCTATAATATTCTATTTTATTATTAGTTATTATTGTTTATCTCTCTCTTTATAAATAAACCTTCTCATAGGTATGTATTATAGAAAAAATATCATATATGGGGTTCAGTACCATCTATGGTTTCAAGCATCCATTAGGGGTCCTGGAATGTATCCCCCAAGGATAAGGAGAAACTATTGTACACAGCTTTTAGAAAATATTCCAGTAGATGAAAAAGTATACACAAAGCCATAAAAAGTACAACTCCACTGTGTTAAAAATGAATATGCTCGCAATATAAACATCAAACACTAAAATAATAGCTTGGTTTATCTTTTCAAAATTTAGGAAGGCTTTTATAGATCATCTAAATAGTCAATGTATCTTTAAAAGGAAGCCTGATGAACTCTAAATTGATGCCTTATTTTTCTGTATTTTTTTGGTAATCTTGTAGCATGCAGAGATATTAAAGATCATTCAACCAATTCTAGAGTTTGAATCATTTCTTTCAAAAATATGCACAGCAGCACAAAAGGCACTGAGGACATAAGTTAACAAGATTTAGAGCATAAAAGGTTCTTGGTTCTGGCATCTTCCCATCCCCTCTACAATGGGTTACTTTGCTATTCCTTGCCCTCATCCCCCATGAAATAAGAAAAAGAAATCACAAAGGGTGGTTGAAATTGTGAGTATATAAAGGGGAAGAAGATGAAGGGTAAGACTATTTCTATGTTTGGTGATACATAACCTCCCTAAGTTTTTGCTGTTTTTTAAACAAGACATAATCAGAGCTTTTAAAATTTTCATCCTGATATCTTCCTGACTGATTTCCCAAAGCCAGCAGTTTGAGGCCCCATTACAAAAAGACATTAAAAAAAAAAAAAAAAAAGCCTTGAGAATAAAAATATAAAAGTGCTAAGCAGCAAAGCAAAAGTCTGATTTAGCCCATGTTGAAGGAGTAGAGCAGTGACATGTTGAGCATTACAAAGTAGATGCTACCTTTACGTGACTTCTGTCAAGCTGTATTAACAAACAAGCTAACTTCTGAACTTACTTTTACCCAGTGCCACTCAGCAACTACCTCCACAGACCAAGAGGGATAAAGTTCTTCCTTTATAAAACGTAGGTGCTTCTGTCTATTGGTCACCCAAGTAACAAGAAGACAGTTTGGAGCAGCCAATTTAGGGATAGGTATTTGCTTTATTTGCAGGGGTGACAAATAACTGTACCTAAAAATAAACAGAAAAAAGGATGAGCAAAATTCACTGCAAAAAAAGAAAAATAAGCAGGGAGAAGACATGCATAACACTGACTCCACAAATGCAAAGCTCTTACTGCTAGTTATTTGTGTAGCAAAATATAAAGCCACAGTGCCACCCAGTGGACACATTATTACACACAAGTCAAAAATCACTTTTTTTTTTTTTTACTAGTTTAAAAACGTCAGGCTGTATTTTTTTTTTTTAGTCACTTCTAAATGCATTACATTTCAGTAATTTTACTATTTACAATACTTTTTCTCCAATTCAAAATTAAGCAAATATTGTTGTTTAGATCTCATAGTCTGTGTTACACAGGAGCCCTGTCACAGTGAGTCTTGAAACTAGTCTCTCAATAACCTAAGTCAAACCCTACAAGCCTTACCTGGCACCAAATCAGTGTTGCAAAATTGGTAATGCTAAAGCCAATCTATTCCAATGAAGCTTCTCCTAGCCCTAGAATCCTCAAACCCTGCACAAAATGCTGACTCCCTGTGTCATCTATCATCTCACCCATCCTCATCTCCATCCCACTGCATTTACAACCCCCAATCTATCATCTCGCTTTCTGCCTTCCCAGTCAATTCCACTGGGTTCTCTGAAGCCCTCATGTTTTCATTGTGTAAAACAAAATCTATAATCTTGTACCTCCTGGCCATAGAGTATAATGTCTAGTTTGTCCTGCAAAAATACTACTTGCTCTACAATATTCAATCAAATGAATATGGCCCTTTCTCCAACATTCAGAGGGAGGGGAGAAGTCATTATTCTCCTGGCTCCCCCATTGCTGTTTCTAGGGTATAACTCATCCACCTTTGCAAAAAACCCTTTCTCTTTGAGAGGTATGCTATCCAGCTATGTTAGCCTCTACTGTTGCTTATTGAATCCATTTCATCCTCAACATATTCAATAAGGACTTAAGCTCTGAGATCCCTCTACCTCACCAACACAAAACTGGCCATTATTCTGAACAATTTCAAAGCACAATTCATATAATGTACATACTTCAACTATTTTTCACCTAAACAAATACAACTGCCTTCATCCCACTTCCATAATCCACTCCAATGCCATAATCTGGACCCTGTCATCACTCATACTTGATCCCTCTCTGAAACCATAAACATCAATCTCTGGTAATAACTTCCTATGCCTCACCTACTCTTTGACCTTATCTAGCAGTTTTATTCCTGACCACACTTACTCTTCGTGCCTGTGGACCACCAATCGCTTCATTGCCTTCTCACTAGCACTCTCTGTTCCCATCCTCCCTTTACCCTTCAACCTCACAGTTTCCACAAACCTCCAATCTTAAATCAATATCACAGTTTTATTCAATTTGTTTGTATAGGGAAAATCAGGTGAAGAAAATGCAGACGAACTGGGTATTAAAAGTTCATTAAATCCACTCTCAGGATCTCAAACTACTCAGCAATTCCTTTACTTATCCTTGGTCAAGTACCACAAATCCTCACCCCATTCAGATCCCTTACCCAAACTCTCTCATACATCAGCACAAGGCCACCAACCTCCTCCAACTACCCAACCCTAACCCCTCTCCTTTATATACCTTTACTTATCTATTTCCATACATTTCCTCTTAAAGGAAATGGCATGATTTCACCTATTAAAGCTTATCCCTCCAGTTGTATTCTCTTATTCCCATATACTAGTATCTTGTAATACCAATTATCCTCTCCTTCTGTATTTTCAACTTCTCTAGTAGTTCTTTACCATCAACCTATGATTATCCTATCTCATTTGAAAAGAAGATGAGAAAAGGAGAACGGAGAAAAGGAGAAGAGAGAGTAAGGAGAGGAAAAGGTGCAGAGGGGAGGAGAGGAGAAAGAAGGGGACAGAGTATACAGAAGAGAAATTCCCTCAATTCTGTCTCCTTCCATCTACAACTAAGCTAATGACTTGTATGTAAATCCTTCTACTTTCTCTCCTTTATTTTATTCCTTAGTTGACTCCAATGAGACTTTTACCATTATGCCTGCTCTGAAAAACGTAAATGACTTCCCAATGGCCAAATGCAACAAACATTGGAATCCAGCTCTAGCATGTGACAACTGTATGTCAGGAACAATCAATAAATACTTCTTAAAACAAATAGGGTAGGGCGTGGTAGCTCACGCCTGTAATCCTAACACTTTGGGAGGCCAAGGCAGGCGGATCACCTGAGATCAGAAGTTTCAGATTAGCCTGGCCAACATGGTGAAACCCCATCTCTACTAAAAAAAAGAAAAAAATTAGCCGGGTGTGGTGGTGGACACCTGTAATCCCAGCTACTCAGGAGGCTAAGGCAGGAGAATCGCCTGAACCCAGGAGGTGGAGGTTGCAATGAGCTGAGATCAAACCATTGCACTCCAGCCTGGGTGACAAGAGCGAAACTCTGTCTCAAAAAAAAAAAAAAGAGCAAAGGAATTCAGATCTCAAGCACCCACGTTTCCTGCCATCTAAACAAGTACTCTTCATAATCAAAGTGATGAAAGAACTAATTTTGCTACAGTATGAAGAATGTCAGGTCAAACATCTGAAGTTACATGGTTTCAATAACTGCAGATTCCTTGATTGGCTTAATTTAATTGGGTTGATTTGTGTGGAGAAAGAGGCAATATTCATATCGCCTCTTCTAGCTCTAATTTCATGGAAATCACTGAGCAAATTCTAAAACATGCATACTAATGTGATGCAATGGAAAGTATGCAAAAAACAAAAAGAAAATGGTGAGAATGTAGAAAAACTAGATCCCTCATTGCTGGTGGGAATATAAAATGCTGCAGGCACTGTAGAAAATAGTTTGATAGCTCCTCAAAAACTTAAAGATAGAATTACATGGTGCAGTAATTCTACTCCTAGGTACACATCCAAGAAAACTATTAATAAAAATGTATTGCCCAGAGTTAGCCAAACTGCAAAGTTTGAAGGCCCAGTCCTCAAGACACTTCACTTATAAAACCAACTACAAGTTAAGGTAGTTTCCAAAGCAACTCACAGAATCAAAAATTTGCTAAACGAACAAAACTTACTGAAAGCTTTTATATTCAGTTACAATTTCTCAAGGGTAAGGATACAAATTAAAATCAGCCAAAGAAAGAGAGTTAAAAGATACTACAGAAATATGACAACTGAACATGTATAATCCAGAATTTTATTTGCTACAAAGAACATTCCTGGGACAATCAGTGTAACCTGAAAAATACCTGTACATAATATTTATTAATGTTGATTACCTATTTTGATAATTACGTTATGTAAGACAATTATCTTTGTTTTTAGGAAATACATACTGAAATATTCAAGGGTAACTTACCCTTTCTCTTAATCCATTCTCAAGTAACTCACAAAAAAATAATATAAAGATATAGGTATCTACGCACACAGAAAAGAGACACATGAATTCTTTGTATGATTCTTGCAACTTTAAAAGAAACAAACCTGGCCAGGCATAATGGCTCACATACGTAGTCTCAGCACTATGGGAGGCTGAGGCAGGAGGATCATTTGAGACTAGGAGTTCAAGACCAACCTGGGTAACATAGCAAGACACTGTCTCTACAAAAAAAATGTTTTAAATAGCCGAGTGTAGTGGCACGCACCTGCAGTCCCAGCTACTCAGGAGGCTGAGGCAGCAGGCACATTTGAACCAGAAGTTTGAGGCTGCAGTGAGCTGTGATTGCACCACTGCATTCCAGCATGGGCAAGAGTGAGGCCCTATCTCAAAAAAAAAAAAAAAGAAGAAGAAGAAAAAGAAAAAAAATGAAACAAATCCTACTGGCACAGCTCATAAGAAGCATAAGGTGAGGATCACTGTGGAGAAGAAGAAATTTCATATGACGTTTAACTCAAGGAAATTGGAATTTTTCAGTCTAGAAAACTGAAAAGTGAGAGAAAATGTAACTGAAGACATTCATTAAAATTGAAAGGAAAAGGCCAGGCGCGGTGGCTCACGCCTGTAATCCCAGTCACTTTGGGAGGCTGAGGCAGACGGATCATGAGGTCGGGAGTTCGAGACCAGCCTGGCCAATATGGTGAAACCCCGTATCTACTAAAAAAACAAAAATTAGCGAGGCATGGTGGTATGCGCCTGTAGTCCCAGCTACTCGGGAGGCTGACGCAGAAGAATGGCTTGAACCTAGGAGGTGGTGGTTCCAGTAAGCTGAGATTGCACCACTGCACTCCAGCCTGGCGATAGAGTGAGACTGTCTCAAAAAAAAAAAAGAATTGAAAGGAAAAAAACGTTTAACGCTATTGAAAGGAAATATCATCTTAGTAACTCATTGAAGTTATCACCCTAAGATGTAACATAAACTAAAAAATTAGAAATAAAAACAAATTTAAGAATGAATTAGATAAATTCATTCATAACACATTATTAAGGAAAACTAGAAATATTTTGGCACATACTTCTAAACTTTAGAATTTGATATCAAAGAAGACAGATACGTTGTCCTTTGGTGTTAACAGAAACAGCCCTGAACTGCTTCTGGTGATTAATAAACGGACTACTTTTGACATTGTTACACTTATATATAGTTATAGTTCAAGAAAATTAACTAGTTAAGGAAATTAAACTGTTAAAACTATTGAAAGCATTTTAGGAGTTTCAGATAACCTATATCATGAAGTAATACCAATAGTATATTAAACTATTATGTACAAAGGACTACAGGCTTTTTAGAAAGCATTTCTAACAGTTAATTCATTTCCACTTACCTATTACTTCTTTTAACTGATTTGTTCTGCCATGGCGGATCTATCACAATTACATCAAATGTTTTCCTATCTGAAAACAAAGATACAATTTCAGAAAATACCTTCTCTACGTGATCACTTTAAAAACTAAACATGTTCTTCAAAACTCAAGTGATTTAACTAGGGACACGAATATAATGGAATGCACCGAAAGGATCTGTATACATAGCATTTATTCAAACAGAGTAATTTATCATTAAATATTAGATGTTTCCCCTACCTCTAGCATTGTATCATAATTTTCACCTACTGCAATTTTTACAGAGACTACCTGCAGATGACCATAGCTCAGTAAGCTGAACCTAATGATCTGTGAATTACCTATGCATCTTGGCAGCCATATTAATATAGTCCTAAGAAATCTAGGTCATTTTTTTTACTTTTTATTTTAAAACAATTTCACCCTTTATAACTGACATATTGACCATAATAAAACTTCCCCAATTATTTACTAATGTACTTTTTCAGACTCAGGATCAAAGCCAGGATCAAACATTGCATTTAGCTGCCATCCCTCCTAACTCTACTCCAACCTGAAAAAGTTCCTCAGTCTTTCTTCATCTTTCATGATTTTGAAACTTTTAAAAGCTACCAATTATTTTATAGGATGTCCCTCAATCTGGGTCTAGTATTTTCTCAGGATTAAATTTAGGTTATTTGTTTTTGGCAAGAGAACCACCACAGTAATGCCTGCCATGCCCTATCAGTGCAACATATCAGGAGGTAAAGGATGTTAAAAAGTCTTTGGTTAAAGTGTTATCTGCTGAGTTTCACCAGTTTTTCCCTTGTAATTAACAAGTATCTTGGGAGGAGATACTTTAAGACCATGAAAATAGCCTGTCTCATCTTTTCACCCACTATTTTGACATCCAATTGTAATGGTGTTTATCAAATGGAAATTCTCTAGATCCATCATTCCATTAATTTATTCACTGGAATCAATAATTCCAATTATGTAAGGAATAATTCCAATACTGTAAGGAAGAGCTGTCCTTTCTCCCCCTTTTATAAACATAGGTATGTTTTTATAAATGTGTGCAATCTCATAAGTAATCAAAAGAATGCAAATTAAAATAAAGAAGTGACACTTTTTAAGCTATTAGAGTAACAAAGATCAAAAAGAAGAGAAAAAATGTTCAGGCATAGCATGGTTTTCTCATTAATTTGTTATCCTGTCATTTACTCTGAAGAATTTATGGCACTGCTACACGGATAACCAGTCATGTGTAAGAAGGCTTGATAGCAATTAAAAGAAGCTTTTCATTAGTAAGTTGTGTTGTAGTTGCCGAATAACTTAAAATTTTGCTAAAAAATGTTCCAATAACAATAAACAGGAAATTAAATTCAATTTGACCAATCTACCTCAATTTGATCAATACACCTCAAAATGACCCTAAGAAGCAGGTATTATCAGGTCCATTTTATAGATTAGGAGACTGGGGCTCAGTTTTGTGAAATGAATACCCCTAAGACTCACAGTTAAGTAAGTTTCAGGATCTAAAGCCAAATACAGGTCTGTGTGACTGTGGACTTCAATATGTAAATTTTTTAACTTTGTACAGGAAAATGTTTCAAGAAATTTTAGACAATGAGCTTGAACACTACCTTAAAATGTATCCTTTATACAAGGCTAGGAATGATTCGGGAATTGACATTCATAACTGAAGCGTTTCTACTTTGCTATGAAGAAGTTTAAAAAAAGTGATTTGGTTAAACACAACTGCATACTGAATTCCTAAGTACAGAGAAATAACCATATTTGTTCTCTTCGAAATAAGCTTTTGACTCTTTATTCGTAATAAAAATTTATTTTTTTTTAAAAAAAGCAAAAGTCAGCACCTTAAAATTAAACCTAAGAGATAAATAACACGAGGAAAAGTGTTTACCCTATCCTCATAAATGCTGACCCATATTCAAATTTCAGACTAGCTTTTAACTTTCAGCCCACAGAAAAATTATATTTTTCTAACAACAAACAATAATTACTTACAGTTCAGAAGTGGTTGCATACAAGAAATGTCAGATAAAAGAAAACTGCTTTTCGGTGGTAGCAGGTATTTTTGTCCCATTAAAGTAATAACTTTTGTAAAGCTAGAGTTGTTTTCAACAACTCGCAAAAATAAATCCTGTTCTGTAACAGATGTATCCTCTTCCACCAATTGGAATGTCTGATGTTCCATTTCATTCAGAGGAGGCAAATGCTTTGCCATTTCACATAATTCTGGCAAATTGCAGGTGTCAAGTGGTAAAGTAATGGGCTTACTACACTTGTCCTGTTTTTCAAAAAGTGGATAAAGAAAACCACTTTTGAGACCTTCCTGGATTAATTGTAAAGATCCATCCAAAATCAGCTCCCTGATCTGAAAGAGAATTTTAAGTACATTAAAAGAACATTGACATTAAAAAAGAACATTGACTGTGCTTTGAATATCTGAGTTTATAAATTGAAATCAATATCCTTAACGCTTACAGTAAAATAATTCTGTATTACAATGAAAAGATAAGAATGTGTGAGCATGCCTTTGAACTGCTGTTTTCCAACTGTAGAGTGAAACAACCCTCACAAATTCACTGACAACTAAATAGCCAAACAATATATATAAGAAAATATATCCTCAAACATGTATAAGGTAAATTTGATAATTTGAATGTTTCTAGAAGAAAATGGGATTTCTAATCTATAGGGATTGCATGAGGAAGTATCTGCTCTGCATTCCTTTGGGGGCAGAAATACATCCATCACATGCTAAATTACAAAAGGAGGTCTCAGGGCCGCCAACGTTTCAACAGAGGTTGAGTGGTAGTATATTACTCCTATATAAGAAAAATAATAATAATAATAATCTATAGAGAGAATTAAGTTTAAATCACACATTTAATCTTAGATTTTTCTGGTTATCTAATTTTAAAATAAACATATCTTTTCTTTCATAAAACATAGCTTGAATTATAAAGAAAAACATAACTTTGCAAAACAAACATATAACAAAGGTTTGTAAAAATACAACTAAAATAATTATAAAAAATAAAACCCAAGTTACCCTTCTGGACAAGAAGGAGTATCATGGATCAGATTTACCCTTTCAACTGAAATTACTTTTTTTAAAGGCACAAAATACGTTTGTTTGGTTGGTTGGTTGGTTTAAAAAAAAAAAAAAAAAAGGCTTTCAGACTTCAGATGCCATGCAGTGTAGAACAGTGGTCCCTAAACAGCAAAAACAAAGGACTGCTCCAGCTTACTGCCTTCAGAAAGTTCCCAGGCACAGGGAAGACACATGCAGAGTCCAACAGTCTCTCGAGTTGAGGAGATGGAGCTTGGAGTCTAGAATGGCCAAGGAAGGTGTCAGAGAGGAGAGAGCACAGAGCTCCTAAGAGCTGCAGGCAATCTGCCCAAAATTCCAGCCCACTCACAATCAACACATGCATGGGATGAAACCACCAAGCACCAAGGAAGGAAGAACCAGAAGAAACGACTAGAGGAAACAATGCCCAGGGCTCACCCAGGGCTGAGAATAGTTATGCTCCCTAATGTCAAAATGGAAAACCTCATCACAAACAGAACATCAGGCAGACAATTCACAACGGTATTGCCTTGGCAACTGGGAGAAAAAAAAAAATAGCTCTAGACCAAAATCTGCTCTGATCATAACTAAATAAGCTCACAGAGAGTCTCAGAAAGATCAACCAGTTGCAAAAAAACGTTTTCTGAGAACAAAGCTCAGGAATATTTACAGGAACGAAAATATGAACTACCCAAAAAGCTAAAGTAGAAATATCTTACAAAAAAATTAAAATTACCAGGAATGTAAAGAAGCAGAAAAATTTATTATAAACGGAAAAAAATCAGCAAATGGAAACACATAGGAATGACACAGATGATAAAATTAGTAGAAAAGTTCAGGTAGGTTTACTTGCAATCCAAATAAATATATTGGGAATAAAAGTAGAAAAGGATATTAAAGTATTTATACTATATTCATATGTACAAAGATGTAAAGGAAAAAATGAGCATAGAAAGAAGTGACATAGAGACATAAAAAAAAGGACCAAATGTGTCCAAAATTAAGACAGAAAAACTATTTGAGGAAATAATGGCTGAAAATTTCCAAATTTGCTGAAGAAGAAGAGGAGGAGGTGGGGGTAAAGGGAGGAGGAAGAAGAGGAGGAGGAAGAATCTGCACTATGTAACATCCTAATCAAATTGCTAAAAGAAACAGTGATAAAGAGAAATGTTGCCAGAGACTTCCACTGGCTGGAATAACAAAGAGAAATAGTAACAAGAGCTTTTAAAACATTAGGCAAGGAAGGACAGTAGCCCTAAGCGATGGGAAAGAAATCGATAGCCCCAGCAAATTGCCTGGAGAGAGCATCCAGGCCACAGAAAGGAAGAATCTGAGCAGAGCCTGGAAGAATCTCTGAGCTGAGGAGATGGAAATGAGAGTACAGTTACTAGTTCACAGGACAGACTATCAGAAAGGAAAGAGCTCCACAGAGAGAGAACTCAAGAGATCTGCAGGTAGGCACACTAGAGAAATTTTCCTATGTACTGATCAGTACAAGTGTGTGAAGGAACTATCAGAAGCTGGGAAAAGGAGTATCCCAAACATTTTAAAAATAAAAAAAATTTTTTTACAAGTGTCTGACGCTCCCTAGGGCCAAGAATAGTGCCCGTTTCCACCACTCAGATGGGAACACCTCATGATTCACAGGGCAATTGGGAGACAATTCATCCTGAGTCTCTGAGCAGAGGCACTGACAGCTTTTGTTCCAGAAAAAATTTCCAAGGATATGTATACAACATGGAAGATGGAGTAGTGTCTCCCCAAGGCAGAGGACAGACTTGTATGCTGTCCAGGTTAATAAAGTCTCCCTCTGGGGCAAAAAGTTGGACAGGTTTGTTCACAACCCACTTAAAAGACGAGAGTTCCTTAAGCTTGGGATCCCTTAGCTGTGAATCAAAGAATCGCTGCACGCATAGCAAACCCACTGCATGCACAGCATCCAGCTAGGTTGACTGCCATCGTCCTCACGGGATATGGGGCGCAAAGGGAGCCTGTGAGCATAAAGCACATGCTGTGCCAGAAGCAATAAAGTCCTTTGTCCCTGACCTAGGAGTCTCCTATCTTCTGCTAGCATCCATGAAACTAAGGCAAGCTAACTTGTTAGCTTCCAAATAGGGTAAAATTTCAGACACTTCACAGTTCTTGACAGAGGTATTAGGTAATTACATGGATCTTGCATCTGTATAGGGGCATAATTAGCCTTAAATACTATTCTAAACCAACCTTAAAAAGCTACCCAGCAAGTGAGAGATTAATTAATGCAAAAATCTCTAAAGACACAGAAGTCCTGAAAAACACTATCAACTAACTTTATCTGACATTCATAGAACAACGCATCTAACACTGCATCTGACATTCATAGAACACTGCATCTAACAATTTTTGGAAAGAATATGTATAGACAATACATATTCTTCCCAAAAGCATATAATACAGGCACAAAGATAACTCTCATGCTGGGCCATAAAACAAGGTTCAATAAATGTAAAAGGACTGAAATCCTAAGAGTATGCTCTCTGCCCCATTGGATTTAAATTAGAAATCAAGGACAAGAAGACACTGAGATAAACTCATTATCTGGAAATGAAATGGAACAATTCTAAATAATTCATATAGGTCAAAGATGAAATAATAAGGACAATCAGAAAATACTTTTTATTGAATCAAAGTGAAAATACAAAATATCAAAATAGGTAGAAGGCAACCAAAGCAGTGATTTAGAGGAAAACTTACAGCTTCAAGTGCTTAAGTTAGAAAACAAAAAAAGATGTAAGTTAACTGACATATTCCACTTTAAGAAAATACCCAAGAAAATTAAAAATTAAAAAAGTTAGAAAAAGAAGAGCAAAGTAAACCAAAAGAAATAATAAAAAAACAGAAATCAATAAAATGGAAAACACAGAGATAGTAAGGAAAATTAACTAAATTAAAAGCTGGTTCTTTCAATATTTGTAAATCATATATCTGACAGAGGGTTAACATCCAGAATATATAAAGAACTTCTAAAATTCAACAAGAAAAAAAACAAACAGCCCAACTGTAAAATGAACAAAGGATATGAACAGATATTTCTCTCAAGAAAATATACAAATGGCCAACAAGCACATAAAAAGATGATCAACATTACTAACCATTAGGTAAACACCAATCAAAACCACAATGAAATACTACTCCACACCTACTAGGATAGCTATTCAGTGTTGGCAAGGATGTGGAGAAACTGGAGCCCTTGAGTATTGCTGGTAGGAATGTGAAATGATAGATCCACTGTGGAATGCAGTGTGGTGGTTCCTCTAAAATTTAATCACAGAATTACGATAAAATCCAGCAGTTCCACTTCTGGGTATATATCCAAAAGAATTAAAAGCAAGAACTGGAATAGATATCTGTACACCTATTTTCAGAGAAGCATTATTCACAATAGCCAAAGGTAGAAACTACCCAAAAGTCCATAAACAAATGGATAAACAAAATATAATATTTACATAAAACGGAATATTTTTCAGCCTTAAAAAGGAAGGAAATTCTGATATATGCTACACGGACAAACCTTGAAGACACAGTGAAATCAGTCAGATGCCAAAGGACAAGTATTATGTGATTTCACTTATATGAGGTACAGGCAAATTCACAGAGACAGAAAGTAGAATACTAGCTACTAGGCAGCAAAGGAAGGGGGAGTGGGGAGTTACTATTTAATGTTTCAGTTTGGAATGATGAACACGTTCTGAAGATGGATGTGGTAATAATGGCATGACACTCTGAATGTACTTAGTACCACTAAATTGTACATCTAAAAATGGTTAAAACAGTAAATTTTATATGTATATTTTACCTATTTAAAAAAAACACAGATTACCAATAAAAGCAATGAAAAAGTTACCATCACCACAGATCCTACAAACACTAAAAGAAAGCATAAGATAACACGACTTCCTGCTAACAAATTTGACAACTAGGATGAAATGAACACGTTTCTGTTTTTTGTTTTTTATTTTTTTGAGACGAAGTCTCTCTGTCAGCCAGGCTAGAATGGAGTGGCACTATCTCGGCTCACTGCAATCTCCGTCTCCCAGGTTCCAACAATTCTCCTCCCTCAGCCTCCCAAGTAGCTGGGATTATAGGAGCCCACCACTGCACCTGGCTAATTTTTTTGTATTTTTAGTACAGATGGGATTTCACCATGTTGGCCAGACTGGTCTCCAATTTCTAACATCAAGTGATCCACCTGCCTTGGCCTCCCAAAGTGCTGCGATTACAGGCATGAACCACCATGTCTGGCCTGAAATGGACGCACT